AGAGAGACTGAAGGTCAACAAGCTTCCATTTCATTTCAACTATAATTGGAAACAGGGAACCAGGATTAAAAAGCCTTCAGGCACAGTCTGGAGCAGCTGTGACGTGGCATGTATCCCATGAACGTAAGAGTGCGCACATTAGCCAGTCAGTAATGATAAAGGAACTGCCGACCCTTCCCGATCTAAAATGGTATATTTAGGGGGCGCCTGAATGACTCAATCGGTTAAGCCTCTGACTCTTGATTTCAGCTCAGGTCATGATCCTACGGTGGTGAGACTGGGCTCTGCGTGGGGCTCCACGCTGACCATTAAGCCTGCTTAAGATTCTCTCTTTCCCTCTGCCCCTCCCCTGCTTGCACTTGCTTGCGAGAGTGTATAATAAATAAATAAATCATTTGGTATAGTGGAATGGCTATCCCACAATGGGATGATTAAACACCTGCAACCCCCTCTTCTCAAACCGAGGCATCTAACAAAATAGTCAAGAAAAGTCCCCACCTCCCCACCCCTTCCCCAGGGCTGACGGTCCGGCAGGCATAGGCATCATACAGCAGTAATAATGCTGCTGGCGTTTCCCAAATTTTACCAGTTTCCTTCTTCTGTGGATCTCTGCATATAAGAAAAGTCTAGCAAGATGTAAAAATGTAGGGTCTTCAGCATTCCTAATTAACAGATCATTTGGCACCACAGTGAATCCAAATATAAAATGGCTACAAAGTCAGCACAACAAAGATACAGAGAAACTATAGGTAACTCACATACCTACGCTTGAAAACTGTAAATACTTACCAGTAATTAGAAATTATGTATCTATAATTAGAAGACTATAGGTAGGACCCAAAGCAATCTGCCTCCCGGCACCTGGGTGGCTCAGTCAGTTCAGTGTCCGACTTCAGCTTAAGTCATGATCTCATGGTTTGTGGGTTCAAGCCCAGCCCCATGTTGGGCTCTGTGCTGACAGTTAGCTCAGAGCCTGGAGCCTGTCTTTGGATTCTGTATCTCCCTCTCTCTCTGACCCTGCTCATGCTGTCTCTCTTTCTCAAAAATAAATAAAACATTAAAAACTTAAAAACAAACAAAAAGCAATCTGCCTTCAACAGTCTTTGGCAGCAATAGTGTTGTTCAAGCTATATCAGATAATGAACAGAGGCCATTCAGATTGAATAATTAAGGTAAACAAAGTCAAGTGGATTTGTAGGTTTAAAGATCCTGAAGTGTCCATTGACTCAGGAGAGAGGAAATTTAGAAAGCAGTGACACTCTTTGATAGACAAAAATACTTTTGTCTTCCACAGCAACTAGACAGTTAAGTAACATACTATGAGAATACAAAAGCAGATAGTAACAAGGATTGCTATAGCAGAAAGAATAACAGACAGTGGGGGACAAATGGAACTGAGTACCAGCTCCTCCACGTACCAGGTCAGGCAAGTTCTCTGAACTTGAACGGATCAGAACCTCAACTAAACGTTCGTTTCTTTCACTGCGAACGGTAGATCCAGCCTCATTCATTCATTGGGTGAAAGAAAGAAAAAAAAATGCAGGTGGAGAATTGGAGGGTTAGCTTGGCCTTTGATCAGTTCTGGATTTGCTAGGTTCTTCTCTGTAGAGCACACCAAGACCAGAGTTCCAAGAGCTAAGTTCTACTTAGCTCAACAACTGATCATTGTAGTAATTCTGAGCTCTACGGCCCTCCACCCTTCCAGGTGCTCAGGGCGAACCTTGGAATCTGTTTCGACTTGCTGATTTCCCCTGCACCTCGTGCCCCGGGCATGAGTCGCCATGCTGGCTCCTCCATCAAAGTATGCCCAGCATAAGGACCTTCTCGCCCCCTCTACCATCACTACTGCTGGCCAAGCTGCAATTGTGTCTCCTGGGTTACCCCATGGACTCACCAGTGGACTCCGTGCTTCTACTCTTGCCTCTACGGGGTATGCCCGGCAAGGCAGAGGGACCCTCCTAATGTGCAAGTCAGATGATGGCTCCCACCTCACTCTTAGTGAAAGCCAATGTCCTTGCAATAGCCTACCAGGTTCTACATGACCCAGCCCCCACTGAGTGCTCAGACTCTGTGCTAAAACTCTGGTCTCCTTGCGTTTCCTGAGACACATCAAGCTCACTCCTGTCTTGGAGCATTTTTGTCTAGCTCTTCTCTTTGCCTGCGACCTTTTTCTTTCTTGGAAGGCGATCTTCACCCTCTTCCAAATTCTTTGAACATGTATCATCCCAATCACCCTATCTGGCAAACTGCCCCCACCCAGGTGCAGCTTCCATTTCTGGTAGCCTGCTTTCTCTTTTCTCCATAGCACTCATCACCTTCTGACACACTATATAATTTGTCTTTTTATTAGGCTTATGGCATATTGCCCTCCTCCCTGTGCAAGAATGTAAACTCCACAAGACTGGGGATCTGTTTTGTTCACTGATGCTCTTTTACAAAATCTAGAATAGTACCTATATATTATAAGTGCTCAACAATTTTTCAGTGAATGGTGTTAGGTCAATGAAAGCTCTATGAATGGAATAATACACATCATATGCATCCATGCTTGGAAACTGAAAATTTCCATAACTCAGAAGTTTCCATGCTGTTATCAGGGTACATAACTTACATCTGCATAATGGGCAAAACTGTGGAAAAAATTGAGCACCCTTAAATATGGCCAATAGAAGAATCTAATATGCTTAGTCCAGACTAGGTTAGTTCAAACTAAATTCAATATGGCCAAAAGGAAACCCTCAAATAAAAATTTGTAGTGGAAGGAGGGGGATGGCCTTGGTGGATAGAAACATGGAGGAAATCTGAAGAGGGTAATGAGGACCATGGCCCATTCATTAGCTATAGGCTCTTGGCATGCCCTTATGGAAAAATCACTTGCTTCTGAAGAAGCTCACCGGTAGGATATTGCCTTTGTGTTCACCTCACCACTCTCGCTTGGAGATGGTGGGGAGGGGTAGTGTTCTGCCCTTTGGCTCCCAGATGAGTTGAGTCCAGTGGGCGGCCCACTGCTCCGGTTACCATAGCTGTGTAACAAATCATTCCATGGCGTAGCAGCTTAAAACAATTTTATTTTGGGGCACCTGGGTGGCTTAGTCGGTTAAGCGTCCGACTTTCGCTTAGGTCATGATCTCACGGTTTGTGGGTTCGAGCCCCGCGTCGGGCTCTGTGCTGACTGCCAGCTCAGAGCCTGGAGCCTGTTTCAGTCTGTGACTCCCTCTCTCTCTGACCCTCCCCTGCTCACGCTGTCTCTCTCTCTCTCTCCTAGAAATAAATAAAAATAAAAAAAAATAAAAAAAAATAAAAAAAAAAACAATTTTATTTAAAATTTGGTGGGTCAGAAATTCAGGAAGGGCCCACCTGGGCGGCTTGGGGCCTCACCTGAGGCCTCTCCTGCTCTCACAGATGTGGGCTGGGTCTTCAGGCATCTGAAAGCTCAACTGGGCTGAACGTCCAAGATTTAGACGGCAAACTCACAGGAAGCTCAGCTCGGCTGCAGACCAGAACCCCTCAGGCTGCTGGTTTCCCACAGAGAACCAGGTATACGCGGGATGGCATTTTCTGATCAAGCCTAAGACACTGCAGGGTCATTTCTGACATATTCTTTTCTTTTTAATGTTTCATTTAGTTTTGAGAGAGAGAAAGAGTGTGAGCAGGGGAGGGTCAGAGAGAGAGGGAGACACTGAATCTGAAACAGGCTCCAGGCTCTGAGCTAGCTGTCAGCACAGAGCCCTACTCAGGGCTCAAGCCCACGAACCGCGAGATCATGACCTGAGCCAAAGTCGGACGCTTAACCGACTGAGCCACCCAGGTGCTCCTAATGTTTATTTTTGAGAGACAGAGAGAGAGAGAGAGACAGGAAGGGCCAGAGAGAGAGAGAGGCTCCAAAGTGGGCTCTGTGCACTACGTTTTTAATAAAGTTAACACAAATGAAAATTTACTACTAAGTGTCTGATTCTTGATCTCTGCTCTGATCCTGGGCTCACAGTTCATGGGATCAAGCCCCAAGTTGGGCTCCACACTGACTGTTCAGAGCCTGCTTGGGATTCTCTCTCTGCCCCTCCTTCTATCTCTCAAAGTAAATAACTTAAAAAAAAAAAAAGCATAAAAACCTCAAAATATACATCTTCTTTCGGGGAACTTGGGTGCCTCAGTCAAGGTTAAGCGTCCAACTCTTGGTTTCTGCTCTGGTCATGATTTCCATTTCGTGGGTTTGAGCCCCACATCAGGCTCTGTGCTGACAGTGTGGGGCCTGCTTGGGATTCTGTCTCCCTTGCTCTCTGCCCCTCCCCCGCTTGCTCGTGCACATGTGCGAACTTTCTCTCTCAAAATAAATAAGCTTAAAAAAAACCAATCCTGGAAAGAGATGCAGCTTAAGTTTGACGGTGTATTCTCTGGGTGCTGGCAGAACAGAGGGTTTTAAATCTTTGTTAGACTTTTTGGTGTTATCTCTTCTTTTTTCCTTTTCTGTTTATTCTTTTTTCTTATATATTATTTTATTACATATTATTTATTCAATAAAGCTATACTGCTGGTTTCTAAATCAACCTCTTACCAGTTACGTGGAGCAATCCGTTCTCCTGGGTCGGAACCACGCTGTGTTTATTCACAAAACTGGGCTGTTGATGCAGAGAACCAGGGCACGGATGCTGGGGTCTCTGGGGAATCTAGGTATCCCGAGTGATCTGACTTCAAGGCTGCACGAACTTCAAAGGACATGATAATCCCTCAGCCCTGATGCTTACCTGACACACTTCTTACACGCTAGCACATCAAAGTACATAGTATGGGGAAGGCAAGCGCTTCCAAGCCAGCCAGCCAGACAAAATATCTTCTCAGTTTTCTCATCTGTAAAACAGGGACAATCTCGCCCTCCTGAAATGTTGGTGGGATCAAACAGGATCAAACTACCAGTGCCCCGCACGCAGAGTGAGTATAAGGCAGCCGGTATTATTGCCCCAAGTCCAGATCAAACGTAACAGAAGTGAAATTAAGCAACAGAGTAACAAGCAAGGAGCATTTTATTGTGTATGCGTATTCTCAAAAATAACACAAAAACCCAGAACCCACAAACAGGAGCAAGGAATGAAGTTTTCTAACTCTCTGGGATACACATGGCACTGTCTCTTATATAGAAACATAGCTAGTACAAGACAAAATGTACTAATCGACATTGCCCTTTGCTTCCCCAGTCACAAAGGCTATAGAGTAAAACACTTTAAATTGTATTCTAATATAAATTTGTTGCACAATTAAACCTCAATGTACTCAAAGGGTTACTGTATATAAACTACAGAAAATAGAGTAGGCATTCAATAATCTGCTCACAATTAACAATTAAGCAATAGACACTGGAATAAATAGAGTATGTATTACTTATTTGTTAAACCTCACATTGATAACGAGCAGATGGTTTATCATTAATAGTAACTGGTTCCTTACATTTTAAGAGACAACAGATCCAGTAATGGAAGTAGAAAGTAATTTAATGAAAGCTCATTTTTAGAAAAGATATCCTTGGGTCTGAGTCACTATGGTATTTCTCACATACTCAGGCCAGTTTCAACAGTTTAAAAACGTAGGTACTAGCAAATTGAAATCTTTAGGGAGAGAACCAAGTGACGCATTCGAGAGCACTATTTTTTGTTTACATCCTCCAGGCAGGACAGAAGTAGGACTTACAGTGCGCTGAATTATGTTTCCGGCTAATGCTACGCAGCTGTTTCTACCATTTGCATTAAAAAGGGCAATTTTAGAACACATCTAGAATGAAGAATTGACATTTCCTTAGTACGTACATAACTAGATCTAAACATAAGGATTTTCCTCTAACAATCTGTACTTTTTAATCCCTATTTGTAGAAATTAGCGTGAGTATTCAGGAATGGAAAAACCATAAACTGTTAACTTGAAGAACTATTTCAAGTGACCCGTTTAAGAGTAACGCAGTCAAAATAAGGCAGTCTAGCTGTATTTTCCTTATGTGCCCAGTCAGCAGAAGTGAGAAAATAATTTTTGCCCGCCTCTATAAAAATATTACCCCATTTGCTCCCTAGTGTGACACAAGACAAGCCTGCCATGTGTGTTTTTAAAAAGAAAAGTGGTAACAGGTTCCAGTGGAGAGAAAAGTCGATTGGAACATTCTTTCTTTTTCCGGATGCCCCTCTCCAGTTCTTCCTTCGGTACGCCTTTCCTCCTTGGTTTATATTAGCTTAACCCCTTAGCAGGTGCTCTCACAGCCTTACAACCTCTATAGAACACCGGGTTTTCCAGGAAGAATTTTTGAAGGTAAAAAAGGCTGAAAACTATGGCGTGATCTTGTGCTGTCTACCATGGACATTGTAAAAACCACATTTTACAGAAGTTAAAGGCAAACAAAACCACAGTTCGGTACTCTTTACCACGGCAAGAAGTAGATCATATACTATTTTCCTTTCGGGACTTCATGAAATCCCTAGGATAGCACCTTTGTTCGAGCTGGACCACTAACTGAATGAAAGCTACCATTCAATGCTGCCTGTTAAGATCCCATACCTCAAGTTTTCTTCCAGGCTGTGTTAGTATCATACATTTTGTAAAGAGCTTAAGGAAAGTTATTAACGGTGATATAACACAAAAATTATAAGGGGTCGTATTTCTGAAGGCAAGTCCATTTTAATGCAGATCTTTCTGGAATACGAGGTGCCTGACCTCCTTTCCGTATTATTTGTGTCACTTGGCCATTAAGACATCTTGAGTTAAACCGCCTGCCTTAACTGTCCTTCTCAGTTGTGAAAAAACAGGTTTAGTCCCCTGGTCGTATCACGCCGAACCTCCACGCTGTCTTGATATGATCCCAACACGGTGAGGCAGTAGATTTTATCAGTATTCACTAGTAAGACTAACAAAACGCTCTCGCTATCTACTTTACATTCTGCCTTTCAGGAAGGTAGGTCTCTCTCCACTCGCTTGTATAGCCCTAAAGTAATAGGTACGTGTACGGCTGTAAAAACAAACAATCTGAGAAATAAATACTGGAATATTAAAAGACAGGCTCCCCATTCCACCCCCTCTTCCCCATCCTCGTCCTAAGTGGCCACAAACTTGGACAACGTCGTCTGATACAAGAGAATCCGCCAGCTGTTAAGAAAGCGAGGTACAAGTTGGGAATTGCGGTGCAGGACCCGGGCTGGCAATTACCGCTCTGGGTTACCAATTCCCTTCTACGAGATACCGCCAGTATCCCATACAGCAGAGAGGCCGCGCAGTGTCCAAAGCTCTGCAGGGCTCTTCTGCGGTGTGTATTAACCTGCCGCAATGTCACAGGGGCTCATCTTGGGACTACAAACCGAACGCGTCTTGGAGGAGGACTGGGCTGTTCGGTGGAACAGAACGCTCATCTCCCCTCGCGGTCACGCTGGTAGCCGGGTGGGTGTTCCATCTTCCGTTAGTCGTTTCTGACTGCGGCCAGAGAGTCAGGCGGCTCGTGCGACCCCCACGTTAACAGCACCACGAATACGTTGTGTCCTCAGCGCATTTGGCGGGGGGCGGGGGGCGGCAGGAAGAGCTGTGTGCCGCCCGGGTTAGCCTAGCAGTCTGACAGCTCATGGAGTAACAACCGTGAGGGTTCGCCTGTGACACGCTGTCTGGGAGGAGGGGCCACTGAACGTGCCAAACACCAAGTGCAGGAACAGCTTGACCCGCCGAGGGCAGAGACCCTTCAAAAGTCTGTCAATAACTAAGTGCCCGGGGACCTTCCGACCCGGACAGTGAGGGAGAGATCTGGGCTCTGGAGCTCCTGCCGCAGCCCTCGGACGGGGCGAGCACGTCTCCCCCACCCCTGCTCTGACGACAGAGCTCCGCAGAGGGCCTGCGAGCCTGACGGCGGGAGGGTGCTCGCGCTCGGGACTGCCCTACCAAAGTCCGAAGCATTAACGCTTTTTGTTCAATGGTTTTCCCCCTAAAACTCGCATCTGCCCACCTGCGCCTTCAGCACACACGAGGTCACTGTAGACGAGGGAGCCTTGCTGAGGTCACTCCTCTCCCCAGGGAACCCCTGCCGACAAACTTTCTCCACGCTCGTCCCCGAGGTCCGGCCACAGATGCCCCAAAACACACCCGGCATGTTTTTCTTTTTAAAAAATGTTGCTTTGTTTTTTTTAGTGGCTACTGTCCATTCCCGTGACGGTGACGGTGGCGCCCCAGGGAGGGAGGGGGGCGGCTGCATCTGGTGAAGGGCGCCTCTGGGAAGGTGCAGGCTTCGCCCGGCTCCCGGCTCAGCACGGAGAGAATCCGGTGGCCAGACTGCAGCCCACCACGGGCGTCATGTCCCAAATCTGCAAGAGACAGAGGGGCCAGCGAGGCAGCACTCGTGACGGGCTCCGCAAGTAGAGTGCACACTGCACACAGACAGCTGTAAAACTGGAAAGGGGGACGAGGGAACTCACGCTCTCGTTCTTCCACTATGAAACCTTCTCAAGATCTAGTGACAGAAGCCCAAAGCTCAATAAAATGTGAAAAAGGTTTGTAAGCACTATCCTGTCACCTGAAGATTACATCATACTGTTGACTAGAAATTTCATTTCATTTTTAATAAAAAGCCGACTGGGAAAAGCCCCTACCTTTAAAAATTAAGAAATGAGGGGCGCCTGGGTGGCTTAGTCGGTTAAGCGTCCAACTTTCGCTCAGGTCATGATCTCGCGGTTCGTGGGTTCGGGCCCCGCGTCGGGCTCTGTGCTAACTGCCAGCTCAGAGCCTGGAGCCTGTTTTAGTCTGTGACTCCCTCTCTCTCTGACCCTCCCCTGCTCGCGCTGTCTCTCACTCTCTCTCCTAGAAATAAATTTAAAAAAACATTAAAAAAAATTTTTTTTTTTAAAAATTAAGAAATGAAGTGGTTTGTGGTTTCACAACTCCAGAGTGGTACTAAGCATGAAATGCCAGCTTTCAGGATCTGTGTTAGTGACCGAGGGATCGAATGAAACAACTTGTGGTTGGGGCGCCTGGGTGGCTCAGTCGGTTGAGTCTGACTTCGGCTCAGGTCATGATCTCACAGTTCGTGGGTTTGAGCCCCGAATCGGGCTCTGTGCTGACAGCTGAGAGCCTGGGGTCTGTTTCAGATTCTGTGTCTCCCTCTCTCTCTAACCCTTCCCTGCTCACGCTGTCTCTCTCTCTCTGTCTCTCAGAAAAAAATAATAAACATTGATTTTTAAAAAATTCAAAAAAAAAGAACGTGTGGTTATTTCTTGCAAGTAGGAAACCTTGTGTCCGGGAGCCAGGGGACATCAGCAAGGGCAGGACAGCTTGCGTCAGAGGCGCAGAGCAGTGGCGAGGCAGGAGCCCCGGACAGATGGCCGCAGGCCCCGCCAGCTGCCCAGATTGCTGGGTGTGGTGGACAGAAACACGCCGGAAGGAGTCACCCACCACCAGGGGCATGGGGACTCACAGACACATGAAAACTCAGGGTTTTCAACCGGCTGCAGGTTGCAAGGCCGCTTATGAAAAGGGAAGGTGAGCCGGCCCATAGGAAATGGGACCGGACTAGAAGTCTCCCGTGTGTTCACAGCATGACCATGGGGCCATCTGCACGCAGACGCTGGTCAGGACACACGAGCCCGTTACCTTTACGATGCGGTCGGTCCCGCAGGTCACCATCAGTCCCCTGGCAATGTCCATGGACATGTGGGAGATGTTATGTTTTCCTTCGTGGAAGGTTGCTAGAGAGGTCCGACTGACAAGGAGAAAAGAGACCGCTGAAAACTCACCTGTTTGTAGCGCTAAGAAAGAGTTTTCTTAACAACATAAAGGAAACACAAGGATAGTGTCTGCATTTGCTCCCACAGCTGTGGCTACAGTGAGGTTTATGATTACAGGGTGACAGAAGGCATGGCCAGCTGCAAGGCTGTTCGACAGAATGTGTGACAGAACTCCCCAGGTAACGGATATTTATATTTTTAGTGGAAAAGCTGATATATTCCTAGACATAAGAACAAGGACTTTTAATAATGCAGAGGGACTCGGGGCGCCTCGGTTAGGCATCCGACTTCGGCTCAGGTCATGATCTCGCGGTTCGTGGGTTCGAGCCCCGCGTCGGGCTCTGTGCTGACAGCCAGCTCAGAGCCTGGAGCCTATTTCAGTCCGTGTTTCCCTCTCTCTCTGACCCTCCCCTGCTCACGTTGTCTCTCTCTTTCTCAGAAATAAATAAAAAACATTTTAAAAAATTAAAAAATAAACACAGAGGAACCGCACCGCGTGAGATCCTGTCGGGTGGGTGGGCGCGACCCTGGCGGGGAGGCCGCAGGCTCCCCACGCCTCTCTGCCACCAGGAGCAGCCCCGAGGCCCTGGCTCTCGCTCCCCTCCCGCGCCCGCAGCCCCAGTCTCCTCAGGAATGCACTGACTGCCCCCAGCGACGCTGCACTCACTTTTCAACTGGGGCCTCTGCCAAGGTTTTCCAGTCTAGAACTTTCTAGGATGATTCAAAGGTAAGGGAAAGAAAACTAAGTTTCCAAGCACACGTGAACAAAGGTTGAGCACCGGACGGACCGGCTCAGCCACCGCATCAGCGAGCGTGTGGCCGTGGCCCCGCGTGCCGCCCTCAGTGGTGGCGGGGGGCAGGGGCTCAGGGACGTCCATCTGTCCGCTCGACTGCCAGACCGATGTTAGCAACGTCACCCCCCACGGTGTTTGGGAGAACTCTGCCGAGGGTCATGGGGCGAGGGCCGAACTACTTCCCACCAACTCTTCACGGGGCCGGGAGGGGAGGAACGTCTCTCAGGCTCTCCCCCCTGCAGGCGCGCAGGAAGACGGAGACACGCCAACACTCACTCCTCGTCTTTGATGGAGTCGTAGCAGGAATCGCACACGCGGACCTGGAACTCAAAGCCCATGACCGGGTAGGTGGAGCGCTTGCTGCTGCACTTGCCGCACACGGCCTGGCCACACTTCCTGCAGTGATGCTGCGGGGGGGGGCCGGGAGGAGGAGAAGGTGGGGGTTAGCGGTGGCTTCCGCTTCGGGGCTCGCGGTTCCCCTTCAGGGAAGAGGGCGGGAGCGGGGAAGACGGGCCCGTTTCCACACTTGTCAAGGAATTCCAAAGAGCCTTGCTTTCTTGGTCAAATACTGGTTTCTATTCAGTCATATCCTCTGTCTGGACGTCAACAAATGACATTACTAAAACCAACTTCAAGTTCGATTAGGAGCTCAAACGACTAGAGATTTCAGAGAAAAAACAACCTATTCCTACGGTGGAGAAAAGGTTTGAATTAATGTAATGTGCCCTCATTAATAAATACATATCCATAATCATATGTTATTTCTTTTAGCCTTTCAAACTGTGATTCTGGAAATAAGCCTCAAGAACATTCAAAATAGACCGGTTTTTATTAAATTATTAATTTAATAATGATTACATTTAATATTTCAATTATTAATAACTTCTACATATTCTTTTACTCCTAAAAGTTTCGTGACCTGTACCTTTCCTCTCTCTTCTATTCATAAGGTGGAAATGAATTTCTTCACGTTTCCTGTAGAAGGAGGGATTCTCTCCCCCATCGGTTACAACGCACTGGTTCCCACCAGACATGTGTTGCGGGAAACAGGCTAATGATGGAATTCAGGTTCCATTTCACAACATCAGAGTGTTATCCAGGTGCTAACTTCACCCCTGTAGCGCCTGCCAGCCTCCTATTAGACCTTGGGGTAGAGTAGCTTTGTAAGTAAAATTAAAGAAAGTTTCTTAATACACACAAACCTTAGGCCAATCCCTCATAGAGGCACCAAGAAATAAAATCAGCACTCTCTTCTACTTACCTACACAAATTCATATTCAATCATACCTTCAAGGTTGCTGTAGAAATATGGTTTTCTTTGGAGAACTTTAGAATTACATGAGTACTTAGTGATAAGAGTATCTTTGAAATCTAGAGGTGATTCAGGACATGTTTCTTTAATTAAAGAAAAAAAAGTACCAGAAACATGTTTAATAAAAATGTTCCAGGCACACTTCTATGGAACAGTTTATGAATAATTTAAAATTCCTAATGTCAGAGTATTCCAATGAGGGCCAGACTGTTACATATCTTCAACAAACCGTGAAAGCATAAGGCTCCCAGTCACATGACCTGCTTCACTCGAATTCTGCACGTGGAACACTGTAACGAGCAACACTTCCAGACTGAAGGATCTTTCATGTATCTACAAATAGGCGCTTAGTGTTTTCTTGTGCATTCCTGCTATTCCATCGCAGGATAAGGCACAAGCTGGCCCCAGGAAAGGTCCCACTGGCTGGTAGTTACACAGGGACAGTGGTATCAAAAATGCTGGAGTTCACAGCGTTTATAAGAATAAGAAGGATTTCCAAACAAAATGGTGGGCGAATACCACATATAACAAGATACGTGATCAACCTAGTGACAGCTCAGCGTTGGCTACTCACCTGTCTCAACCCCAGTGTCTTTGTGTCCCACATCTGCTTTATATTCCAGAAAAAGGGCTGCTCGCACTTCTGACAAGAATCACTCTCTAACCACTGAGGAGCCTGAGGGAGGAGAACGTCAAAGCCACCATTAGAGCATCTCTGTGTCTACCAGGACTTCTCAGGTTACTGATACAACAGTTCTAGACCTTGTTGGTGCTGGCCAACAGGAATTAAAAAGAAAACTCCTCAATACATTTTGGCTGTTGCCATATTCAATACTACGTGTTTTTGGTAATCTTTATCGCTTTAGCAACGTTTATGGGATTGTCCGAAAGGAGTAATTCAGTTTTCACTGGGAACTCCTAAGGCATGTTTTCATAGACTTCTGTGCCAGAGCTGTGAATATCAAAATCCAGTTGCATGAAAACCCACTTCTTGCAGAATCTGGTAGATGACCCCCTGGGACGTCTTGTGGGGTCACGCCTTCAGGGCCACCTCGTGTCAGGACAGGTTTGCCAGCCGGCCCCTCTGACTCCCGTGAGCAGCTGCCCTCCCGTGTGCATGCGCACTGCCTGCACACCTCCACCCCAGCACCGCGCTCTCTGGACTGTAATCCTTTACGCACACCTCGCTTCTCCCTGCTAACCTGTCATTCACTGGTCTTACTCATCTTGAAACATGGACAGCCTGTCCCAGAGGAGCTTCTCAATGAAGTTTTATGAAAACAGGACAATTAAAGTCTTGACATCGCTTTACCAAGAACTTAGGAAGTATTTCTCTAGGCAAACCATTGCCCGATTATAAGATGAACCTGTTAAAAGCCATTACTGAATCCCAATCAATCGTCATTATAAACGTGCAATAAGAATGGGAGAGAACGCGAATTTCTGTCGGCTAGACCAAGGACTGTGAAGAAATGATTCTTTCTTGATCTTGAAAGTGAATACTCCAGAAAAATACAGCTGATGAGAGGAGACCGTGACGGGAAAATCGCAGACACCGCACTGCACACCCCTCCCCACCCCCGACCTTCTAAAACAGGCAGGAAGACAGACGGAGAGCCTCCAAGAGTCAAGCTGGGACTTCTGGGGGCTAAGAACGAGTGCCTCTGCTTCCCTATTTTGCTTCCTATTGCTTCAGGACTTTGGGTTTTCCCATTTCTTACTTTAGCTACGTCACCAGAAATACTTCTGCAAAGGTCTTTCTTGGGGGTGGGGAGCCCAGCAAACAGCACAAAGTGGGCTCGGACAGAAGCCAGGTTTCTTTGGAGAACCGGAGAAATACCGGAAGGAAGGGAAGACAAGGGAAAGGGTGACAGAGACATGCACCCATGTGGGAAAGATGACCGCCTTGCTGCAGAATCACCTCTTCCGCTTCTGTGATCAAAGAACGGAGAAGGCAGCTGGGGACTGCTGCTTGGGAACAAGGTCCCTGAGGGAGAAAATGGGTGACATGGCGGGTCATACCACCCAGAGCTCGGTAATGTCTGTCTGCAGGGAGGGGAGGCAGGTGCCGTGGCCTGGGCTCGGGTCTGAGACGCACGCGGCACCAGACACACATGGGACAAAGCTCAGGATGTCTTTGCGACAGTGACAGCCGAGTAGGGGCACCCACCCTGTGAGGTGGGGAGGAGGGCAGCGCTGGGCACGGGGCCTGGTGTCCGAAGTGCCCCAGGTGTCCAGGCAGGGTGCCCAGGATTTCATGTGCCTGATTCCACTTGCTTGTCAACACAAGCTGAGCGGACCCACAGCAGCGTCACCCACACCGAGCGAGCAGAGAGGCTGTGGCTCTGGCAGTGACGCAGCGTATGGGACGAGGGCACAGGTGGTGGTGACCTAGGAGACCCAAGCTCGTCCACCTACATGGCATCTCCAAACGGGTCATCTCTGTTTGAACATGAGGCTCCCTGCACGTGGTTCTGGGGTGTGACCACAACACACCCGAGCCCTTACCCTCAGGAACGTACAGTCCTGTCTGGGGGTTTCAGAAAGAACAGGACTAGACTGAGCCGGAGGCTCAGGGGCTCCAGGGAAGAAAGGTGGGCTTTACATAGTTTCAGATAACAAACAAGACAAAATCAGAAAGAAACAGACTTTCCGGAGCATTTTATTGTAAGAAATACCCATAACTTTCTTTTAATAGGATGAAGTGATGTGCTCCAAGCTATCACGGACCATCCTGTTATACACTTATTCGCTAGAGGGGAAAAAAAAAATTTTTTTTGAGCAAAAGAGAATGCTCATCAAGCCTTATTTCACTCTTCCCCACCTACTTACTGTTCCATCTGCCTCTGCTGCACAGAAGGGACGACGTAACGAGAATCATCCCCCACACGGCCATTACCAATAGCTGCAGTGATCTGCGTGGCATACCGCACTGCACATCCTGTGATCCGCTACCCTAAAACAAGGTTCTCTTTTCAAGTGGATTCGCTCTAATTATTACTTATTCATTTATGTTTCATGACTACTTCCCAAAAGGAGCCCCTCTAATTACGATCTGGCCAGGAGGCAAATCTGCTTCCAGCCTGCCCCGATCAGTACTTCCTGGTGACTCGATAGGAAATCCCAAGCAGCGTGGAGAGAGAACCTGGGACTAATTCTGTATGCCCTTGTCTAAGGAAGCCCTGTGAATAGTACAAACTCTAACTCCAGGGCCAGGACCTTCCAGATCTGTAGACTGTTTCCTTTTGCACTATACTTAGCTGGTTTAAAAAAAAGAGACAGAGAGAGAGAGAGAGAAAGACTACTGAAAACAAGGCATCTTTTTAACACAATATGCTTACCCACCAGCACTGTCAGCTGCTGAGAGAGAGAAGCCAGCAGAGCGTGACGTGGAACCAGCCAGCATGCATGTGATCTGGGAGAATCTTCCACAAACGACTGAAAAGAGACTCGTGTACAAAGGAAGCATCCTGAGTGACGGGGTTGTCTTTTCTTTCCCTAGACGTACAACGAACTCCACAATCATGTGACCCTGAAGGTGGGAATCCTGCTTTTATTTTGTTAACTATTTCTCCTAAAAGAATTTGCCAAAGGATAAGGATAGTGGACTGAAATCCAAGTGGGTGAGCTCTTAGAAGCAGCTCCTGCAGTACTGGCTCGGGCGTCGCCCTCCCGCGTGACCCAGGGAACACAGCCTTCAGTGGTCTGTGCTCTCAGAATAAGACCGAAACAGCAGTCCGAAAGTCCAGCAAATCGAACAGAATGCTAGCTGTCCTTGATGCCCGCAACAGTAGCTACTGGAAAACACACTTAAAATAAATCCTTGCGAGGAAAGTATATGTAATGTGATGCCAACGTTATAGATGATGCAATAACTGGCCAAAATATTCTGCCAGTAAGCCGACAATCAAGATTTCCTCTGCCTGACTGGTCTCACAAGCTAAAAAGGTAGCAGTCGTGACTTTTCCAAATTATAAGCTTCCTTTTATTATTTACAGGGTAGTCTATTTCCTTCGTGAGATTACAAGCTTCTTGCAGGCAAGAATCTTTATGTCTAGAGCATGGTAGCCATAACGTCTGGAAATGAGTCATGTCACTACTTGTTTTAGTTAACGGAACCCCCAGGTCACGTCTTCTGTGGCATGCTAAAGATGCAGTTTTAGTCAGTGAAAACGAGACTCACGAGTAATAGGAGGTGACACAAATTGTGTGCGGAGTCTGGTGGGGCTGCCGCATCTGATCCAAGGGGGCCCAGCACATGGGCCACCGCACAGCATACGGGGCAGCGCCTTGAGCGAACCACATGACCTCCCACGGCGCAGGAGGCAGTTAGATGCAGTAGCAGTGAGCCCTTGACCTGTTTCCAGGCATCAGAGCCACCCTCCAGGGGCTCAGTAAATGTTTCTCAAGTTAAAATTCAGTCCTCCTCAGTCCCTCGGCTCTACAATCTTCTCTTCCAAGTCAACAAAAAGTAGGCTCTTCTGCTATTTACATCACAGGTTGGAAAAGACAGATAATACCCACGCTGGCAGACACGAGAGTAGAAATCCTGCCTGGAGGTCATCTGACGACATGTATAAAAAGCGGTAAGAACATACATATTTCCCTGTGCCACAGGGTCTGTTTTCAGATACTCATCTGAAATAAATAATTGAACAACCACACAATGACCAGGTCAAGAACGCTCACTGCCGCGTTGCCCACAGACGAGAGTACGGATGCCAGAGGAGGTGGTGGAGGGAGGGTGCGATGGGTGAGGGGGTCAAAAAGTGCAAACCTCCAGCTGTTAAAGAAGCAAGTCCTGGGGACATGAGGTACAGCCTGGCGGCTGAAACCGCGTTGTGCACGTCAAAGTCACTGATCGGGTGACTCTTGAAAGTTCTCATCACAAGAAACAAGATTTGTAACCAGGTGGTGCTGGAGGCTAACGGGACTCACCGCAGTGATCATTCCCAATATGCGCAAATACCGAATCACTACACTGCACCCCTGGAGCTAATATAATGATATACACTGATTATTTCTCAAGTAGAAGAAAAAAGACGGCAAGGTTGTTGACACAATCAGTGTGTCTCTCTAAAGAACCAGAAGCGGCTTTAGAAAGTGTGTCAGCAAACAGACAGAAATGACCACAATCCTCTGAACGAGGCCCCACAACACGTTAGCGGCACAAACAAATCAGAACTCGGGCCTCCTGAAAACAGTAGTAGTACATGGACACCCCCTGGTGGAAAATAAACCAGAGAATGGCACATGTGTTCACGTTCCCGGGCAGGCACCTTGCTGCGTCCGGCCCCCAGCATCTGGTGACAGGGATGCGTGGGGCCACCAGAGCGCTTTGGGGCCTGCACACAGCTCGCACCCAGCGGCACTGGGCACCGTCTCCAGGCAGAACGCAGCCCACATGCAGCCTGTGGGTGACGCTGGTCACTGCCGAAACCCTCACATGGGCAGGGGGTGCAGTGCAAAGTGACACGATGGAGCCTGTTGGGCGACAGCCAGAGAGAACGAGGGTGCGGAGTCTGCCTCAGTCGGCACCAACAGCCGGTGGGGGGGGGGGGGCCCGAGAAGCCAGGTTTTGGGGGTCCCTCCATGCCAGCCCTGTCTGGCTCGTTCCCTTACCTCCTCTCTGCTAACGTCCATGTTCCACACTGCAATTCCGCCGTCCGAGGAACAGGAGACGAGCTGCCGTGTGAGCTGGAGGTAGCATAGGGACTGCACTCTGTCACTGCGAACAACACACATCCGTCACTTGTCTCGATGTGGAAACACACAGGCTCACATCTCTGCTTGTTGGAACCTGCAACTGGCATCTTACCACTGACTACCTGGTATGGTAATGTGGCCTCTGGTATCAACTTCAGTCAGTATTCTGTCCCTTACTACATGGCATCATAGTCTCTATGAAGGAAAAACCACTTTCAAATCAGTCATCCAGCACCACAGGCCACAGAGAAGACGATGGCTAGACTATCGGGCCAATCACTGTGTGAGCCAGTCACTGTGGTCCATTCCTTTTCAGGTGCACGAGATTCACCTACTTGTTTGGGGCCACCTGGGTGGTTCAGTCAGTTGAGCGTCTGACTTTGGCTCAGGTCATGATCTCACGGTTCATGAGTTTGAGCCCCATGACCAACTCTGTGCTGACAGCTCAGAGCCTGGGGCCTGCTTCAGATGCTGTGTCTCCCTCTCTCTCTGCCCCTTCCCCACTCGTACTTTGTCTCTCTCTCTCTCAAAAAGAAAACAGTAAAAAAAAAAAAAAAAAATTCGCCTACTTGTTCATACCAAAGAACAAGGAGGAGTGACTCCCTTAACTGGAACACAACCCGTAGGAACAGATGATGAAACACTACATACACACATGCGCACGTGCTCACACTCACACACAAGCACGCGTGCGCACACACACACACGCACACACATCCAACGATGGGGCGACATCTGGCCCAGTCCTGTATGCCCTAGGAAGCAATCTCCTGACCTGCAGACTTGTGTGAAGGGTGTTTCCTTGGCCACTTTTCAACTTGAGTCTGCTTACAGTAGACGGCAACAGCCTAGCCAACAGGAGGAAAGGCAAGGCGGAAAGGAGAGGCCAACGTCCTCTTCCTCCCAAAACTAGAAGGCAAGAAACTAAGTGCTGTAACGTCCTAGCTCAGGTGGCTGGGCCTGCGTCAAACCACAGCCACACGTTACACGTCTGAATAATAAAACCAGGTAGGCATCCGGTTCGAGACTGGCTTAGCACGGCACCCCACGCAACCTTCCCTGGCCTGAGTCCTCACCTTCGGTCCTCAACCCGATTGCACCCTAAGCAGCTATTTCAAGAGGGTGACTCCTTGGGATAGACAGGTGGCAAGTGCTCTTTGGACAAAGAAGGAAGACGACTCTGGGCTTTTTTTTTTTTTTTTCCTCCTCTACAACACCCGACACTCAGGACTAACAGAAAAGCAGCTAAAGTTAAAAGTGGACAGAGTGAGCCCTGGCGTATGGCTGCCTTCGCAGACAGAGTTTGGAAGACGCCGCATCCCAACACTAATGCTACCCCACCTCCCGCAAACTCGGATTCTTTCCCCACCCCCATGACAGTCACGCACTGGTGGCCCTGCAGCAAGAGCGTGCGGCCTTTCCTTCCTCCGATGTCCCACATGATGATGCTGTTGTCAGACGCTCCCGAGAAGAGTAACCGCTGGATAGGGTCCCACCAGAGGCAGGCGATGCTCCCTACGGTGAGAGAGGAGAGGTTCAGGACAGCCCCGCACCTGTGCACGCACGTTCCACACCTCGACCGGTGGGGTCCTTATGGAAGACTGGGTCTGGGGCGCCTGGTAGCTCAGTCGGTTAAGAGTCTGACTTCAGCTCAGGTCATGATCTCACTGTTCGTGGGTTCGAGCCCCGTGTCGGGCTCTGTGCTGACAGCCAGCTCAGAGCCTGGAGCCTGTTTCAGATTCTGTGTCTCCCTCTCTCTCTGACCCTCCCCTGCTCATGCTATCTCTCTCTCTCTCAGAAATAAATAAAACATTAAAAAAAAGTTAAAAAAAAAAAAAGGAAGCCTGAATCTTTGTTGTACAGAAGGTCCTTCAACACTTCATCATGAGTCACAGAGAAGACACGTATACCTATCACCCAGAGTTATAAGACAATGATCTGCAGTCGTAAGTCAAACTACTTTGAACACGAAGATGTTTAAAGAATTTTTCTTCATTCTATACCAAAAAAAAAAAAAAAAGATAAAATAGCTATTTATGAAGGGTTAGTTCAGAAAAAGCTTTTGAAGGGAAAAAATAAAAGCTAACAATGTTTAATGAGAAAAGATAGTGAAGGGGCGCCTGGGTGACTCAGTCGGTTGAGCGTCCGACTTAGACTCAGGTCGTGATCTCGCAGTCCGTGGATTCGAGCCCCATGCTGGGCTCTGTGCTGACGGCCCAGAGCCTGGAGCCTGCTTTGGATTCTGTGTCTCCCTCTCTTTCTGCCCTTCCCCTGCTCATGCTCTGTCTCTCTCTCTCTCAAAAATAAATAAACGTTAAAAAAAAAAAGACAAAACCGTGAAGATGACTATGGTAAATAGGGAAGATAAAAATCTAGATTATTCCAGGTTTCTGGGAACTTGCAGGTGTTTTATCTCAAGATGCACATGTGTAAGGAAATTAAGTGAAGGGTCTTAGTTTGCACATGATATGCCAGGGAATTCAGGTAAAAAACCCAAACCTCATGTTTTACATTCTACCTTGGCTAAACTCAACAAATTTGACACCCTTGGAAAATCTTTCTACAGCCTTCTCTTTCAACAGATTTCTCTCTTGGTTGTTCTATTGATCACTGCTTGCCTAGAAAAAACCTGTCAGTAAACTTAATAAAACTGAACCAGTCCCACAGGTTAATATTTTTGGCAGGTATAGAGAAAACTGATGAGGTCGTATTGAAAAAGAAAACAACAGAAACTAGTTTCTCTCAGAGACTTCACATGAGTGAAAAAAGAACTGTTCTGCCAAACTGGCCTCAGGGAACAACTGTGCATAACTCCTGACCCTATTTAATCCTGTGCCCTGTACATTTCAGCCTGCCTGACAGCAGATAAACACGGTCCTTCACTATAAACACTACTAAGCAGTCCCCAGAACCCAGTGTGTCCTTAGCAACCCAGAGAGGACTCAGGGGCCTGGGGATCAGGAGACCATTAGTCATCAGCACGAGTGGTTTCCCTGGGGGCTATGCCTTCCTGCCCCAATACGGTCTAATGTACTTACCCCCCTGTGCTCTACAGGGTTCCCAATCTGACAGATTGTTCCATCTAAACCAGACGGGGTTGAAGTGTCTAAATTCTTACCCAGTACGGCCAACTGAGCTTTAAAACCCTTCCATGGGGCCTGGCCAACTTGCTGGCCTGTAGAAATGATACAATCCCACCCATTCTTTCTCCTCAGTCCCTAACCAAGCAGAGGCAGAAGCAGCCTGGACATTTTTCCTAATGGCACTGTCGACCAGCTCTTGCTCAGTGTCCTAGAAACTGACAAATTAAACAAAAACAAAAAACAACATTCCTCCAAAGGTCTTACCATTTACAAGAATTTTAAAAGCTCTTCTGAAAATAATTCAGTTTAAAAAGACAAACAAAACAGAAAGTTTCGTCTACATGAACCATCTGGACAGGATTTTGACTATGTGAAACCCAACAGCCCACTTTCGGTTAGCTTCTCACTCTTTTAGAACTAAATCTCACATCTGGCCAATCAAACTGAAAACTGACAGGAGCTGATGATTCATGAAGCCACGGGGCTGAGAACTAAATCCGGATGCCCAGGACAGGTGAAGAACTGTGAGTGATCACACAGCCTACCTTCATGCCCTTTGAGGGTTGTGATAACTGCACAGGAGGTCTGTTCAAGCTTCAGCAGGGTGATCTGTCCAGAATAATCGCCAACGAAAGCATACTGAGTATCATAATCATATCTGTGGAGAAGCAGTCAAGGATATAGAACACAATTCACCCAAAAGTTATCAAATAGAAAAATGTGCATTTTAAGGAAATAAGCATAAGCCTAAAACCATAAGACAAGAAATACCCAACTGAGATTCGGGCAATACGTAAATATTAAAGAAAGAAAGCTTTTCAAGTTGGAATTCTTGGGAAAATTAATACTCATTAATTTGACAAGAATTCATTGAGTACCTGTTACTATTCCAATCAATACCTTAGGATATTGAAAAAAAAAAAAAAAAGATAAGAGCTGACAGAGAGGACAAACATGGAAACAAGTAGTTCTAATCAAATTATAAAGTATAAAAAAGTAAACACTCGATAATGAAAACAGCAAGAAAGAACTGGAACAAAATGGCTATTTATGAACTGTTTCTGGAAATAATGCAAAACTGGTAGCAAATATGGACATGAGGCCATCTTTCCTCTGGCCTGCATGAGACAGCTTTAAGTACAGAGGATGATTCATTTTAAATTGCCGTAGAGAGCTCAATCATCCAAGATGCAGTTATTTGAAGAGTAGTAAATTTAAATTTTAAAAATACACTAACTATTAATAACAACTCATTCCTTTCTCAATCACTTAATGGCCATAGAAATTTGTGGCCAAGCAGCAGTTTAAACACATCAGGATGCCCCCTGTTTCAATACCAAAGCACAGGTCAAAAGAACACCACTGCCTGGGCTGTGCCTGTGTGGTTCTGAGCCATTTCCTATCAGTCCATATGAAAAGCCTAACCTATGACAGAAACACTTATTTAGCACAAGATATAGCAAAGTATTTTCCCCTTATTTGAACCTGAAGTGTATGGTACTACTTTAAATGCTTATTTCAAATATCTCATGCTGTGCATTCATTTGTAGCAAAAGTTTTTTTTATAAAGGCTTTCCGTGGAAAAAAAGAATTTACCACGTCAGACACCAGCTCTGGAAAAGGAGCTACCGTCGGGTATCTGCCTGCTGACCGCCGTGAGCTGGACGCCCGACAAACACCACTACCAGAGGTCGCCTTAAGGGCAAACCGTACAGGAAACAAATTCCATACAGTAGAAGAAAACTGTGAAGGCAGCAATTTGTGAGCATTCGAGGACCCTAAGGCACCTCTGAGAATATTAAATGGATTACGAACCCCCTCCACATACATGCCGATGAACTATAAAACTCCTTTAAGTCCATTTATGAATTCCAGGGTCACAAATCCTTATTATATTCTCTTTCAGGGTCTGCAAATAACCGAAAAGAAGATCGATCCCTTTCTGTTTTTCTTTATTCAACAAAAGGGTCTTTCCTCTCACCTTGAAATGCAAAGGAACGAGGGGGTAGGGGTGATGATTAATGAGGTTTAGGTTTCCGAGATTTTGTACGAGACAGAGATAGCACTTCCCAGCAGAGAACGGCAATTCATCTGATTATTACTTTTAATAAACCAATATATTTTTAATATTTTTAGGGGAAATATACAGGAATCACCCAATCTCTGGATCTCAACTGCCAATTTATGATCAGGTGGCGGGGGAGGGGCGGCACACACGTGGCCGGCTGAAGGATACTGTAAACACGAAGCCCAGGAGGTGAAGAAGTGTTTCCCGAGCATGTTCCCGCTGCGGGTGCACATCCAGCTGATGCACTTGTCGTGGCCCGTGCTGATGACCCACTCTGCAGCCAGGCTGAAGATGATCGCAGACACTCGATTCTGATGAGCTGCAGGAACAGAGAGGGAAGTCTGCGCCCTTCACCAAGAAACGTGACCTTCTGAATCAGAACTGAGGCTCACCTCCTCGAGCTGGTTGGCCTGGACACTTACGGTCTCAATGATCCTACCACGGAAATGCCTGTGCTCTGTGAGCCAGCTTTCAGATAGCCTTCCCAACCCCAACTCAGTACCCTAGGCTTTCCGTGGCCCAGCCCCAAGTCCCCTACTTGGGTGGGCGATGAGAAGCTACAGATCCCGAAAGACTGATGCTCAAGAGGGATTCCAATAACAGATCAAAGACAGACCTTTTTTTTTTTTTTGGCTGTACTCAAGAGAACATTTTTCCTTTGCTATTAACTATCAATAAGTTCCATATGGAATGTGGTAGACTTTTTTTAAGAAGCAATGTTTTTTATAGTCTATCACTTTAGTACTTCGACCTTTTTAGAAAACACTGGCATTGTAAACAAGAGAATTTCAGTTTTCCAAAATTAAAAAATAGTGTAAGCATTTTGTTTCTGGAATATTTTGTGTGTAACTCTTTTTTAGTATTTATAAAGACAAAGTATTTGTAAAGCTCTGTATTCCAAAATTATAGCTGAGAAGAGGGAAGCTTTTCTATTATGTGACTTGTGAACTACTTGCATTTCCAGGCTGACTGTAAGCCACACTAGGGCAGTGATGAGTCTAGTCTCCTTCATCTAGTATAGCACATGGCATGCAGCGGGTGTTTAATAAATGCCCAGTCTGACGAATGAAGTCAGAGGCTGGACAGAGAAACTTTCTGACCTCACTCTCTGCTGACCAGTATGCTTTGGAAGAATGGAGGGACTCTTTCTTATAAATCACTTAGAAAACACTACAACTCTATGGGTATATGGACAAAATCACCAACAGACATTCATAAAAGGTAACAAATGATCAACATTAAATAAAGCTGAAGTAATTTTTAAATTGCGAGCTATTTTGACCATCAAACTGGCAAAAAACATTTTAAGAGCTACAGACCTGATGAGCAGATACTCTCAGCTACCACTCACGGACTGTAAAAATTCACACTATTGCTGGGAAGAAGTGTGCAAAAGAAATCTAGGGTATTAAAAACCTTGTTAATGTTTGAACTGGCTACTCCATTTCTAGGCATTTGTCTTAAATAGAAGTAGCCCGGGGCTAGAGCCCGGGATTAGAGTTAGAATAATAGTCAAGGACACACACACGTGTGTGTGTGTGTGTGTGTGTGTGTGTGTATGAAGCATACGCTCACAGATATATATACTACCCACGTATATATACACACTGTCATACAGGTCAGTGTGTGTTATCAAAAACTGGAGGCACTACACATGCTCAAAAATAGAATGCTTAAATTAAATCTGATAATGCACTCAACAGGAGAGTATACAAAATTTTAAACACTGATAAGCAGGAAAGGATGGTAAATGACTCTGAAGAGTTCACAGCCTCCTATATAATTGGAGAAACACCACTAAACACTTCATGTGAAACCCAATTTTGATCGTAAGAGACAGTGTTCTAGTTTTGTGTGTGTCTGTCTACACGCATATGCATGTAAGTATGTGTGTGTGCTATAATTACCTGGGTAGGTCTTGATAAAGTTCATTTTATTAAAATCTTCAGAAACGTGAAATTCCTAAAAGCAAGCACATACAATAAGAGAAAACAGTCACAGTTTTAAAAACACGAACTTAACTTTCAAAACAAAGGAAAATCCAAACCTAGTGACGGCCAGACATGGGCCTCGAGATTAACTACAGAAGAATAATATGGAACTGCTTCTTTCATCAGACTTGTCCTCAGGCCACTATTTCTTTTGGGGACCAGGCCAAATAGAGAAGGTACTGCCGACCAGCACAGCATTTTTGTGCAGTTCTTCGTCCATGAGTGAGAGCTTTGTATTCCTTCTCCTTCTACTGCAAAGAAGGCATCCTGTGAAGTTTGTGCTCCTGGTCACACTGAGCATTCCTCAAGATGACACACATAAAGCAAAGCTGCAAAGACCCATTACGAACAGAGTTCTCGGCAACACTGAAAATACGGCACTGGGTATCTCAGCAATGTAGGGGGAAATCATACAGGTTTCATATAGAACACGCACAAAAAAGGGGTATTTAGCGGTTGCGGGTGGTGTGCCTCTTTTTTTAAATACACCTGTATTTTCCAAATTTTTTATAGACAATGTAATACTTAATACATAGGAAAAAAAAGTATATACTTCTTAATGAAAAATTCAGCTTTGGCATAAAACCAAGAAGACAAAACTCTAAAGAAAAAGCACTACGAATTCTATTGATCAGTGACAAGTGATATGTTCTTAAGGCTCTAAGTAACGTGGACATTATGAACTGCTGACGAAAAGAAAAACCTCACAGAGGAATACTGATTCCTTGCTCTACATTTCGGTATTGGAATGTACAGAAATATATCAGTATATATTAGTGTGTATATTAGTATACAGTATAATATGTATTATGTATCATATAACCTTATATGTAAACTTATATATATAATGTTTACTATACATCCTCAGTATAAATGTACCAGTACACATCACTGAATATATATACTAATCTGTACTGGGTGGAAAATCAATAGATCAAGTGCTAATGAACAGCAAACCGGATTTATGCTGCCCCTTTGCACAGAGGAGCCGTGAGTTTTTCTATGCTCTTCTGTAATCACAGAGCCTACCCTTGAACTGGGAGCCACGAGAAGGGTCCCTAGAGAAACAAGTGTGCAAGCACTGCCACAACTGGAGAAATGATTTGTGCTCTGCGGCTTCTGGTTACCATATGTGCATGCACATCACCACAACATTCCTAGAAAACCTTCAGGAGAAGAATGAGAACATTCGCATTTACTGCTCCATGAGGCATTCACTGCCGCCCAGGGCTGTGCAGGGGTGCGGAGCTGAGCAGGCCCAACCCTGCCCACCGCTGAGGGAACTGCTTGGGCAGGGAGCCCATCCTGTCCACCGGCTTCTTCCGTCTTGGCTCTTCAACACACCTGCAATTCTCTAAGGATAAGAGAATTATCCTTATCCTTTCATTTCAAAAACAAAACAAGCAAAAACCAACAAAACCCTTTTTAACAATCCTCCAAGCTTCGCTAGCCCCTTGGCTAAGGTCAGCCTGCACAGGCTGCATCCGGGTCTCCAGCCGCTCTCTCCTGGTCACTCTTCCACCCGCTGCACGCACGGCACCGCCACTGCTGCCCAGAAAGGGCTTTCCTTGCTGCCACCAGCTGCTGTATCACTGCTGTCCCCAGGGTCATCCTCCAGGCCTGACCTCCTCTCTGCTGCACCTGCCAGTTACTCACCCCCACGTGAAGTTCACTGCCTCTCTGGCTTCCCCAGCCGCAGCGTCCTCGGTGGCTCTCCTCCCGCCCTGCCCATTCTGCCTCTGTCTCCCCCATGGGCTCCGAGCCCTCTGAACTTCCTTACTGATATTCCCAGGGAATGTGACCCTGGCCCTAGGCTCTTCTCAATCCAACTGCTATCCCTAGTTGGCCACCCGGCCACTGTTAGCAGCTTCCACCGACACCTATATTCAGAGAACTTCCAATTCCAGACCAAACTCTTGAGATTCAGGCCCACGGCCCCATCTGTGAAAACTGACCTCGCCAATGTTCTCTCTGTATCAGCAGCTTTTCTTAGAGGGCAGCTGACCACTCGCCAGCACCATCCTGGCTAAAACTGGAAGCCATTTTCACACAGCTCTCTCTTAAGTACCCACATCCAGCCAGACATCAAGCCTGCTGCCCAGACAGTTCTCGAAGCTACCAGCTCTTCTCCGGCACTACCCCAGTGTTTCACAATCTCGTGTCGGGGTCCTGAAATAGTCTCTTAATGAGGACACCTCAGTTTCAGCCCTGTCCCCCCAAACTCCACATACAGACACACTAAGCTCACAAAAACAGCAACCTGACGATCCTATCCTCTTCGGCTCAATGCCCTTCAATGGCTCCCCTTCGTGCAGTGATTACCTACGTACCTGACCCTAAGGTTCACTGTTGAGAGAAGTCACTGAGAGGACGTGACCGCCAGCGACCCATGAATGGGGGTCCTGGCAATCAGCAGTCAGAGGCTCCTCACCCTCTTCCCCAGTCTTCGGTATGTGTGTCTCACTTGGCCTTCCCTGTTCCCAGAGGCTGTCTGTCCCAAGGACACAGCCTTGACAGCGATGTGCTGTTGGGGCCATCTGGAGAGCATATGTGACTGAACCCAGCTAAGGTCTCGATATAAAACTTTTAAGATTCTGGTGGGTGGAGGCAGACTTCCTCAGCTTGTAGCTCCCTTGCTTATTAAACCTGCTGCCCACCGCTCTGCACTGGCCTCCCTCTTTCTTCAACCTCTCCGTGCCCTCCACTCGTCCCCTCCCCAGGGGAGCACAGCCATCCTCACTGCTTTAAAAAACACCCTCGATGTTGAGGACGCCATCGCCTACGCTCCCAATGGGCCCTGGGCTTACGTAGGCAACGTCAACCTTACATGGCCGGCCACTGCTTGTCCCGCTGGCCTCTCAACCGTATAGGTGGGTTCCTCGTTGCCCCCTTCCCCTCCAAATGCCCCCTCCCCCCCCCAAGCCTTTCTCTTCTCAGTAAATGACACTACTGTATACCTGGTGCCGGAAGCCTAGCTGTCACCAACTTGCTCCTCTTCCTCCCCTCCCCACACCCAACCTTCCCCAGGTGCACCTAAAATCCACCTGCTTCTGTCCACTGTCCCTGTCACCATCCTCTCTCCCAGGGTCACAGCCTGACCGTCCAGCTTCCATTCCTGCTGATCGCCACCCCTCCCCCAAACTGATTCATTCTCCACCAAGCAGTCACACAGATCATTTAAGAGCATAAATTAGATCATGCCCCTCGCCTGCTGAAACCCCTCTAAGAGCTTCCCACAGCATCTACAACAAAACTTCAAACTTCAGCCAAACCTACCAGGCCCGACCTGACCCGGCCTCAGAATGCTGCGCCCGTCGCCCCCCAGCCCCTCCCTGGCGCTCAGCATATCCGTATCACACCCAAGGATGAAATTTTGGATGTTCTCATACGTCAAGGTCGTATCCAAAATATCAATCCAGCAAGCTAAACCCAAAGCAAACAGAAGGAAAAAAATAATAAAGTTAGAGTTAAAATAAATAAACAGAGGATAGGAAAAACAAAAGAAAAAAAAATCACTGAAACCAAAACTGTTTCCTTGAAAAGATCAACGAAATGGACACCCATTCATCGGGGGCCATGGAGAAACAGCGAGGGCTCCAACCGCTAAATCCAGGAATGAGAAGGGGACATGACTGCCAGCCCTGCAGAACCTGAGATGTGTGCGGGGCCACGAAGCCCACGGGACGGAACCCCACGCCACCGCACGAGGAATGAGGCGCTAATTCAAGCTGCAGCATGGATGAACCATGGAAACATGCTGACTGAAAGAAGCCAGGCAGGAAAGGTGACACATCCTATGTGACTGTTTACGTAAAATGTCTGGAACGGGCAACTCTCTGGGCTCGGGAAGCAGATTCGTGATTACCAGGAGTTGGGAGAAGGGGCTGTGGGGGTTGACCGCTAACCACTGTGTTTTTTGGGTGGGGGTGGGGTGGTGATAATGTTGTGGAATTAGAGAAGGTTAATGGTTGTATAATCTTGTGAATATACTACAAAACCAGTGAATTACATACTTTAAGCTGGTAAATTTCATATGAATTATACCTCCATTAAGAAAATATACACATCCACACATCCACACAATTAGAATCATAAAAATACCTGCAATCTATAATCAACTGAAATTTTAAATATCTAGTCCTTCACCACAGATAGTTTGAACAGCACTGCCTTAAACAGTCATATGAGCTGTTGGCTCAATGACGTCGCCGACCTTGTTCTCCGTCCCTCTCCACTGTTACACTTACATACACGTGCACGCGTGTGCACACAGGCTCTCCACCGCGCCCCCCTCCCACCCCAGACCCCTTCACAGTTCAAGGCTGTGGCTGCTACAGGCCTCATATTCACCGTAGGAAGGCTGTGCTTTGTGGCTCAGGCTGAGCACCAAACCATCAATCATGAAAGCATTCTGAGCTCCATGACTAGTTTAAATAATAACAGTTAAATAAAAACAGTTAAAACTAAGCACTAATGAAAATTAATCCATTTTCAGGCCTAAGGTCCATACTGAATTAAACACTTTTTAATGCCAAACAATCAGGCATTCGTTGTTCTTTATTCCAACCATCCACAAAAGGCATGAATGCTGGGTGGAAGCTACCTACCATGATGGCTCCGTTATCCTGGCCCACAAATATCCGTCTGCTATCATGATGGTAAGCCATAGCAGAGCAAGGGGCTGCCAGAAAGACAAAGACCATATTAAAGGCAAAGCTAAGCATTCCAAGTCACTGTTCAAAATAAGCTATTTAAAAAGCTATACAATTTAGGTTTAAACGATAGGGCGAGAATGTTTTGCAGAAAATAATGATGTAAACAGAAAAGGCTACTGAAGTTCTTTCTGCTGTTTTAGTTTAAAATTCCAATTCAAAAAACCTCCTAAATTATTTCTGTAACTTTGAATGCAGCAAGCGGGCACACAGTTCCATCTGGCGGGAAGGCCCAGCTGTAGGCGGCAGCGTCTGCGGTGGGAAACCTGCTACCCCAGGCTCAACAGGCCGTCCTGCCCCACCCCCTTCCCCATCACAGGTAACAGAGTGGCTGGAATCCATGGAAAAGGGGGGTCCCAGCGCCAGAATTCCCATTCCGCGGCATATGTGCGCAAGTTAGGAAAACCACTTTGGGATTATGTTTTCTCTTCTGATGGTCAAAAAAACAAGGTTCCCTTTGCAGTGACACACAGAGCCTCAGTTCGGAGTGACTGTGGCGGTTAAAGTGCAGAACATGTCTCCCTGTCACGAGAGCGTTAGGTGACCGGGCTAGCGCCTGCTGCTTCTCATATCCATAACCTCCTCCAGGTTCTCTCTTCCTTCCTCCCTTCTCCCTTCCCTCCCATTCCAGAGAATGAGTCTCAGAGAGGAGAAACTCTCCATCCTTCTCCTTCTGCAAAAAATCAGAATTGAAACGAGGTGTGAAATGGAACACCTCGAAAAAGAAATGTTTGGGTTTCCTGTAGCCTAAAGAATTTTAATTGACCACAGGAGAACCATGATGAGGGAATATATACCGTGAAATAAACCTGAGTTTACTTTGAGGTAATACTTCTTATTAAAAAAGTAAAGGAAAAAAAATCTTCAAATGGCATTACCATTTGAAAAAGGTTTAATTTAAAGTTATCTCTTTAGAAAGGGCTGACATTTTCCACTGATGGACAAAAGTAAACTATGACAGTGGACCCCACCCGAAGGCAAAGACACAGATAGCTGCACAATCAGATTGTGGAAAGAGGCTTTTTCAAGTGCAGAGAACTACCCAGCTGGAAGGCAGGCGCTACAGCTGTGTGCACACACAACTGCACTTGACTAAAGCCCCCCGTACCCCTCCTCCACCACACTGTAGTGGGGACTAGAAACAGCAATCAAGTTTAGGGGCTTTGGGGGGGGCGGGGAGGGCACCTGGGTGGCTCAGTCAGTTAAGCGTCCGACTTCGGCTCAGGTCATGATCTCACAGTTCGTGGGTTCAAGGCCATGTCGGCTCCGTGCTGACAGCCAGCTCAGAGCCTGGAGCCTGTCTTCGGATTCTGTGTCTCCCTCTCTCTCTGACCCTCCCCTGCTCATGCTGTCTCTCTCTTTCAGAGATAAATAAAACATTAAAAAAAAAAGTTTAGGGGCACCGGGGTGGCTCAGTCAGTTGGGCATCTGACTCTTGGTTTCAACTCAGGTTACAATCATGTGGTTTCATGAGTTTGAGCCCCACATCAGGCCCTGTGCTGTGCTGGCAGTGCGGGGCCTGCTTGGGATTCTCTCTCTCCCTCTCTCTGCCTGTCTCCAACTTGTGCTGTCTCTGCCTCTCAAATAAATAAAACTTTAGAAAATTTTTTTTTAAAAAAGAACAATCGAGTTTAAGAATTATAACCTCAAAGTATACGTATCTTCATAAAATGTACAGGAAAACCTTGGTTTGTGAGCATAATTCATTCTGGAAACATGCTTGTAATCCAAAGCACTTGTATATCAAAGCGTATTTCAAGAACCACTGGCTCAGCTGTGATCACGTGACGTTTGGCATCACCTACTACTCGTCCTGCAAGACATTGCTTGTTTATCAGGTTAAAATTCATGAGAAATGTTTGCTCCTCTTGCAGAACACTCGCAGAACAAGGTGCCTGCAAGTCCAAGGTTTCAATGACCTTCAATAACTTCAATAACCATCATAAAACTACCTTTGGCAAATCAGACATGCATTGATGATTTCAGATTCATTGTCATTGTTTTTGCTTATTTCTAGGTTGGAACAAAATCTTAATGCTTTAGTTTTAAGCTTCCTTCGATTCTTTTTATGTCTAACCCCCCTCTAACAAACTGTACATAAATATGTAAAATCCTCTCTTGTGTAAAATTTACAACGTGCTGAGTAGTGTTATGAGGCTAGAGAAGTCTTACATTAAAAAAGGAAAAAAACCTTCCGTAACTTATTTGTTTTGCATCTAAACATGTCCTGGCTTTTTTCTAGAGGGAAAGTTCTAGTGAGATAAGCAATATTAATTAAAAAAAAAGAAGAGTTTGTATATTCACATAGTTTTATAAGCATGCATCATGCATATCATCTTTAAATCAGCGGCCTTCTAAAGAGGCATCACTGCAATCCAAAATCATATGCTTAAAACTCTAGTTTTGTAAATAAAGGTATTATTGGTTTTTTGGAAACAGCCAGGCTCCTTCATTTATATATTGTTTATGGTCACTTTCATGCCACAGTGGCAGAGTTGAGAGGTTGCCGAGACCATACGGCCTACAAGGTCTAGATATTAGCTGGCTGGCCCTCTGCAGGAAAGGTCTGGGCCCACCTCATAACTGCAGTGGGCAGCGTCATTCTGGGGTCAGACGGGCACGGACTGGCATTCCAACCACAAGCAATGGACTTAGCCCTTCTGGCATCAGTCTCCTCACTTAGCAAATGGTGAAAAAGCCACCTCGCGTGCATAGCTGTGTGACTGCATAAAATGGTATCACCAAAAAACTAGGCATGAGTCACATGGTAGATCTGGAAACTAGGAGGTACCATTTTTCTTAAGCTAAAGCAGAGTCTGAAAGTCATTTTTGTTCGGGGAGGTAAAGCAATGGAGCAAGTGGATCACACGCAGCAAACACCGAGGTGAGGCTTCCTGGTCACCCTGTCAGGTCACAAGAAGAAGTTTAAATTGGTGGCTGGCCACTACAATGTCCGAAACTAGATCATCTGCAGATAGTTTTCAGAACCAACATGGCACTTCTCATTTTGAATTCGGTTTTAAAACAACAGTCATTGTAACACAGTCATTTCTCATAATTCATTCATTCTGTTTCTGTTGGCAGTGTTCTTACAGTTTCATCACTGACGCAGCTCCAGATGGAGCACAATAAAGAAGCATCTGGAAGCAACAAGCTGAATATGTTTAGGTGCAAACATGTGGGCGGCAGCCACCCCCAACAGGGAGGCTAGGCCTGTTCTTTCCAGTTGTTACTGGTCTTCCCAGCCACAGCATTCTGGGAGCTACTTCCAGGGGGTACATTTAAGCCAAGTTTGCAATAGATGGCAACAGAGAGAGCCAAAACCACGTGCCCGAGGCCTAAAAGCCGAGAAAGGGTGCACACGTCTCCTGCCAGGTTTGAGGAGAGAAATTACAAAGCTGTACTAAATATCTGGGACATCCACAGACTGAGGAGTAAGTGAGAAAACTATAGGACAAAATCCATCTCGGTCTCTTGTCCAAGGAGCACGAACAACTCTGAGGTTGAGGACTCAGGGACATGAAGCTACACCCAAAATGTGAAGTGTGGGGGAGCGGAGGGGAGGGAGGGGTACGAGCGGCAGCACTAACAAGACTGTCCACCAAGACGACAAATGTTCCCGGCACTGCCAGGCATCAGAGCCGTCACTGGGCCACTGCAGGAGAGCGGTTACCCGTCTGAGAGGTGTCTCTGCCCCGCTCCAAACTGCACCCCCCACAAATTTCCCAAACGGGCTCCAAGTGTCCATTTGCTAAGGCCTCGGTCACCACCGCTGAGAGTGGGCAAGCAAGGGTCTACGCCCACACTCCATGTGCAGATGTGGGCCACAGTCCATAATCATCGGGGCATCCTCTGAGGACTAAGTATTAGAGAGTCCGATGGTTCCTTCTGTAATAGCTATCTTGATCCCATGTCTTCATTTTCAGTGACTAATTACCAGGACAGAGGTGTCCTGGGCAGGCAGAAAAAATGGAAACTCCTGACGGACCACTAACTGTTTCCGAACATGACTGTGGGATCCGAACGCTGCACACACGCTGCACACTGGCCATAGAGAGGAAGAAGCGCCAGCCAAGAAAGGAGGCCCTCGGAAGGACGACCCAGGCCAATTACCCGGCGTCTGTGTCTGTAACAAGCCCCCACTGGCTCCGGGCTAACGCTTCAGAAAGCCGTGAACGCTGTCAACAGTGTGTGTGCAGCGAGAGGCCAGAGCTCTCCCGTGGAGGGCCTTACGGTGGCCTTCAGACCTAACAAAGCATCAGGAAGGCCCCAAACCTTTTTTCTTTTCCTAGGGGGTCCTCTGAACACTGAAACTCTTAACTTGGGAAACTTCCTCGTTAAGGAACTAGCGGCCACGGATGCCTTCTGTGTGGCCATTCGGCACAGCAGGATACAAGGCCAGCTCGGGCCAGGCGGCACCCAGGCCTCCTCTGGGGGGCTTCCTTTTCAGGAAAGGATGAAGAGAAGGGGCGGGAGGGAAGGACGGCGGTGCTGCTGACATTTGCACCCGGGGCCGGAACTTAAGTGTCATTTTAAGTCACTGCATCTCAGGGCACTTTCAAAATCCCAATGCAAGGGCTATCTTCTGGATTTAGCTTTTGAACATATTTAACTACAGGGAAAATTCTGTGTAGAAAGGGTTGTGCTTTGGTGCCAATCTCTCAGTAGGAGGGGAGTTTGTGAAAAGGCTGGGCCGAAGGCTGGTCGTGAAGGCAGGGGTGCGTATGAGCTCCTTTGCAGTATCAGGATCAGCTATTACCAAGTACATGGTCACTAACACAAGTTGGTGAAGCGAAAACAAAGGAAAACCTAGGGGTGGCAGGGCATACCCTTCCCCCACCTCTCCTTTTTTTCAGTTTTGTTCAACTCGGCTTCAGTTAAGCCAGCAGACCCAACTTCCTCTGCAAAAGAAAAGAAGTTTTCCTGCAATTTAGCACAGCCTGTTGGGGTATTAGGCAACTAAGGAACTCATTTTGAAATCTAGTAGCACTTTTTTAAAAAACTCTTTTAATGTTTATGTATTGTGAGGGGGGCTGGGGAAGGGCAGAGGGAGAGAGAGGATCCCAAGCAGGCTCTGTGCCATCAGCGCAGAGCCCAATACGGGGCTTGAACTCACAAACTGTGTGAGACCACCACCTGAGCCGGGATCAAGCTTTAGACGCGAAACTGACTGAGCTACCCAGTTGCCCCGAGCAGCACTTTTTAGTTAAGCATTTTGAAATCTGAATCATCAGGGGCGCCTGGCTGGCTCAATTGAGCGTGAAACTCCTGATTTCAGCTCAGGTCATGATCCCAGGGTCATGGGATCCGCAGGGCACGCAGCCTGATTAAGACTCTCTCCCTCTCTGTTTTTCTGCCCCGCCCCCTCACTCCCTGGCATGCACACTCTCTCTCACTCTCTCTCAAAAATAATATTTGAAATTTGAATCATCAAAGCACTAGACATACTTTTCTCGCTCTCAAAAAAATAAGTATTTGAAATATGAATCATCAAAGGCATTAGACACACTTTCCTCAGGTGGAACAGTTCAGCTACTCACAAGCCATCGTGTGGTAAATGCTGGGCCAGTACTGACCACTGTCTCTCTTCAGCCACACTCGAATGGTTCTGTGGAAGAAAGAACAGAAGAGCAGTCTTTGGTAATTTTATCTTCTTTCGTGCTTCAGGGAAATGTAATTATTTATCTTGTTTTCAGTAGTACTTCCCAAACGACCTTATAAGGTTAATCAACTGGCCAAATTAAATAAATACGCCAGCACCCACAAGAACAGCACCGAGTACATCATATATAGTCCACACACTATTCACACACACACACAACGCACACGTTATCTACAGGTACATGTATGTGACCACATATGGCAAGTTATGCAGTTGCTCTGAGTCAGGATTTCAAAGAAGTTTAATAATATGGAAAATCTCACTGTATAAAGATATACAAAGAAAACCGCCAACTATTCACTGCTTTTCCTCGTAAAAAACAAACTGTGGAAACTTGGTCGCTTGCCATTGGGGCCAAATGAAGAGAGCAGAAGATACAAACAGAAGACCCTGCTTCTGGAGAGCCGGGAGAGATGTGCGCAGAAAGCAGAGCCCAGGGCAGTGCTCGTGCCCGATAACTCCCCGTCTTCCTGCCCCGGGAGGAAATCCCTCCCCGCCAGGTCTCTGGGCCTCTCCTTTCATCAGAACACACTTGGGGAGATAAGGAAATCCTGTACACAGAAGAGCCGAAGTCTGGTATTTTGGCTTATGTCACAAGAACAATAAGCAACGCGAAGATCCTTCTTCCTCCACTCGCACGACCTCCTCCAAGCTCCAGGCCGTTCCCTCTTCAGAATCCCTGGGACACTCACCGCCTCCCACACAGGCATGCTCTGCCTCGGCAGTGAGTCCCGGGCATCCCACTGTCCCTTACTGTGAGCTCTGTCCCCATCACTCTCCGATTCTAACAGCAACACAGGCTCTGGCACCCAGCTGGCACTCCTAAAACGTTTTTACCATAAACTAAAATACAGAAGACTAAATGTTGACACTACGTGTCTCCGACTTGTTTGAAGTTCAAGGCAAGTATGACGGGTCTATGAGGATAAAAAACAGAACAGTGTTGCTTGTGGGGGAGGCAGATAGAATGTAAGGGGACACGCAGGAACTTTCTGGGTGATGGCAGGGCTCTGGGGAGTTGGTTACACGCGTACATGAATTTGTCAGGACTTATCCGGCTGCAATTAAGATGTGTACAGATGCCCGCATATGATTAGATCGCAATAAAGAGAGACTAGATGTTGACCTTCATTCAGCCAAATAAATAAGATGACCCAGTAGCACAGTGGGCAAATTACTACTTTGTATATGAACCGGATACAGGCCTCCGAGTGGGAGTAGCCGTGTGTGCAACACGCCCTGTCTTCCGGCCACTGCCGATTGGTCACGATGGAACCTTGGCCACCTTTCCCCACATCCCACCCCGATCACAACTGGCTAGACCAGAAATGGGCGCTTGACTCTAGCTGGATCAATCAGCTCCTGTCTTGAGAAGTCACAAACAAAGAGAGAGAAAAATAGATCAATGTCTCCAATAGTTGAAATGGCTGCTTCTGGTCACATGTTTTGCGATTTGGATTGCAGAAGGCTGCACGTCCAAAGGAGGAAAAGTATGAAGTCAACTTAGTAAAAGGAGAAACGAGCTGAAGAGGGTCCAGATGAGGGTCCCTCATGCCCAAAACAGAGCTATTTCCCTAGACTGGGGTTCTGTGAGGCAGACACCCCAGCATCCTTAGCAGAAACACCCTCAGGTGGCCTAAGTTGGTCTGACTTATGGCTGTGGTTTGCAGTCAAGCAGGTACCAAAATACTGCATCTGAAGAGACACCAAGAAGAATATCAAACAGCCTCTTCAGCTGAGCACCATTAAACGAGGTTCACAAGGTAAGACTTTCTTTTGAGGTACCTGTATTGTGAAAAGAAGTTCTAAAGCGTTCAAGTCCACAACCAAAATTAAAAGGGAGAGGGCGAGAAGACGAAAGCATGCAGGAACAGACCTTTAATGGTCGTATTTTGTAATTCCGCATCTTACATCAAAATTTAACACTCTTCAAGGTAACATTTAAATGACTCTCTTGTAATATGTGGGTTCTTGGTTGCTGTTCATGATTACCTTCTTCTTTCCCAAACCTCAGAAGTTAAAAAATTTTTCATAATACAGACCTCTGCAGTTTGGAGCCATTTAAATCAAGTTACAAAAAATACCTAATGGCACAGAAAATGTTCGCAATATAAGGTTAAGTGAAAGCCCTCTACAAAACTGATGAAGGCAGTTATGATACCAACTTTGTTGTAAAATCCCATCTAATCAAACCTCTAGATCCAACTACCAATTTACAGGAAATACAGAGGAATATAAATACCACCCCAGGGGTGCACTAAGCAAAACTCAAGATGGCAGGCAAGGCTATGGGGCGCCTGGGTGGCTTAGTCGGTTAAGTGTCCGACTTTCGCTTAGGTCATGATCTCGCGGTTCTGGGTTCGAGCCCCGTGTCGGGCTCTGTGCTGACTGCCAGCTCAGAGCCTGGAGCCTGTTTCAGAGTCTGTGACTCCCTCTCTCTCTGACCCTCCCCTGCTCACGCTGTCTCTCTCTCTCCTAGAAATAAATAAAAACATTAAAAAAAAGATTAAAAAAAAAAAAAGATGGCAGGCAAGGCTACAGACAACGACCCAGTTTCCTCTACGAATAATCTGCATGGGGGAAAAATAGAGATGAAGGATCACGCTATAATTAAAGAGGTTTGAGAGATATATCCAGCAATCACAATGCATAGACCTATTTGGATCCTCACTCAAACATACTGTTAAATATACGTGTATCCCTGTGAAACTGAAAATCTGGACACTGACTAGATATCTGATGGTATTAAAATACCGTCCATTTCTTTAGGCATAATAATGGTGGCGCAGAGGTTTGCTTATTTGCGTTTTTTTTAATATTTTTTTTTAAATTTTTTTTAAGGTTTTTTTAATTTATTTCTAGAGAGAGAGAGAGCGTGAGCAGGGGAGGGTCAGAGAGAGAGGGAGTCACAGACTGAAACAGGCTCCAGGCTCTGAGCTGGCAGTCAGCACAGAGCCCGACGCGGGGCTCGAACCCACGAACCGTGAGATCATGACCTAAGCGAAAGTCGGACGCTTAA